TCTCTCTCTCTCTCTCTCTCTCTCTCTCTCCCCGTCTCTCTCTTTTGTTCTTGAATGACCCTGATGAACTCTTTCGCTATAGCGAGCCATGTTCCACGGCTCGCCACTTCTTTGCTCCATAGCCTCACCTACTTTTGTAACAATCGATGCTGAAATCTCAGGCTGAAGAATGATCGTTTTTAGCAACATGTTGAAGATAGGTCATTATTTCCCAACTCCGTAGCAAAGATAAATTCGTTTTGTGGGGGATAAAACGGATCAGTTCCTCTCAGGGTCTTTTTAAAAGAATTTTTTTTTTTTAATGTAAGTTTGACGCCTCTATTTCACTTGCAACACAATCGGGTCATTTAAGTTCCAAAGATAAGAGGTGTTACCAGGGAGTAACTTGCAAAGAAAAAGGAGGAGGAGAGATGAGGACGGCATATGTTTGATAGGAAAGAAGGAGCAAACCACACCAAAGAGCACCCGCCAACCACCCACGGGGTCCCATAGGTCCTGCTTCATGAGTGAGAAAAAAATGAACATTTATGTCGACATTCACACCTGTTTTTGTGAACTGAAGCAGGGTGCAAGTCCTGTGGCACAGATAGTTGTTGGTGGTCGGAGGGCACTGGTGATAGCTCCTACTTCTTTGCTTTCCCATATGTGAGGCATTGTGGTGAAATCAGGTGCCCATCAGTTTTAATTTGGGAATATTGAGTTATTGGTACCAGTATAAAGCTTGCTCATTTGTCTTGGTTGTGATGAAGAAATTACCCATCTATCTTGAACAAAAGCCGGGATGTTTGCCATTGATGGAGGTGGTGGAGACTTCAGAGGGAAAAATAGCCAGAAAATGGCCGCCAAAGTTTAGTGTCTTACACAGCTTGAGAGACCTCGGAAACAAATAATTTGCATTTTTTGGTACCTTTTAGCAACTTTTTTCATTGAACGGATATAATGAGTGTTGACCAAAAAAGAAAAATGTGAAAAAAAATTGCAAAACCTGCGGAAAAATGCCGATTTCTCTGATTTCGTTATTTTGACGAGCGCCTGATTTCACCACACTGTCTCCTTTCTGCTGTTTTTTCTGTCAATCGTGCTTATCTTCCTGCACCACAGAACAGTTGCCGTGTGGGTGTGCTGCTCCTCTTTACTCAAATAAACAAGCACAGGTTCAGTAGTATTTTTTTTTCTCCCTTGTGATTTCGTTTTTTCGTAAATACTACTGTGGGTAACGTTCAACAAGAGCTTGATCTCATCGCTGACCTTTTGTGTCCTTGACTGACGGCACCGCTGTCTGTGGTGTAGTGGTTAGGTTCTTCCTTCACCTGTACATGCAGCTCACATGAGTTCGAG